AATATATATTTTTTTAAAATTTCACGTACCCCCTAAGATGTCTTCGCGTACCCCCGGGGGTGTACGCTTACCCCAGGTTGAATACCACTGGAATAAAGAACAAGACCCCCAGGAATTCGTCGTAGTGTCAGATCGCTGACTATCTCGAAAATACAGTCGTATGTCTCTGTATGTTTATGGTTCCAGAAGATACCGTGCATTGTGTTAGCAGGTCCTATTAAGTCGCTGATGCAGAACACTTGTTGCGAAATTCATAAATTCAGCAGAGTCTCTTTTTTTTGGGGGGGGGGGATATTTATGATAGATTCAACTAATCTAGTCCCTACTCTTTTATGGATAACACAGTTACTGAAGTGTTTTGGGTTTGGACGGGGCTTCGGGACACGTCGGTCTCACTTGCATCTGGACGTAGTAGGAAACTTTTCTGGCATCTTTTGTTTCGTTCAGTTTTCCCCCCCCCCCCCCGAGTCTCATAAATACTTGTTGCTTTTGTGTGGTTGTCAGACTTCTTCTCATCCTGTGGGATGAACGTTTATTGAGGGTGGAAGGAGTTGACTATGAAATGAAATAGGGTGTGATGAGAAATTCATACACCACTCGACCTAGACGTGGATGGGAGGACAATGTTATATGATGGAGTTTGGCTAAGGACACGGTAACGAACCTCCGGGTTCCATAAAAGGCGAGAAATTTCTTGACTAGCTGAGAGCGACTTTTCGAAGGACTCTGCTTTAAAGAGGTTATTTATGTCTTTCGCTTCAGAAAGTTCATTGTGATGACGACTGTAAGCGTCTCTCCCGTTTTATCCGTGCGTCATCTGACACGTGTAAAAGGAAGAATGTGACGGATGAATGTCGTCTTCTTACAAACATTTACGATTCTATGAGTCATACAACATGTGTTTTCGAGGCATTCAGGGAACGCGATAACCAGGTGAGATTTAGCTTGTGTCGTCGTGAAATGGATGCCGTTCGAGCTTCGTATTTTACCATATTGCTTAGTGAGTTACCTTTCATCATCGTTTTAGCTGATTTGACGCTGTTGAACATCTGTAGTTGAAACAGCATCGTTGAATAACTTTGGTTCGTTGTACGGCTTCATTGCTTAGGCGTGATCGTAGCAGAATTCAGCCTTTTGTTTACACTCCGGTTGCCAGGAGACATCTCGTTGTGTTACTTGTTTTCCTTGAAGTGCATATGTGAAGGTCTTAGTGCACATGAGGATGATTGGACCGTCGTGTGTCTGCGTCAGGACGGGGCCTGAATTGCGTGTAATTTTGTCGCCCTTCAGAGAACAGTGGTAACTTTATGTACCATCTGCTTTGACGTTTAAAAACTCTACAGTTTGTTCCCAGGATGTGTCTGAAGATGTCTTCTGAATTTCGACATAAGCAGCCCTTGAACAGCGTTAACAAATTTATCGCTGTCATGGAAATACACTTTGTGTATTCTTCATCAGGTGATCTTATATCGTGTCACTCTGTATCACCGACACTGAAACTTTTTGAATCCGAAGTTGAAGGAATTCTGTTAAGAATGTACTTTATATAGGTTATGTCCCAACCAAAATTTAGCCACGCGTTGGACTGATGGTTAATAAATGATCAGCCACCAGTTGGACTGAAACACATCGTGGCTGTTGAAGTTTGGTGGACATCCCTGTTATTGTTGGCACTTTTGACAGTCATTTCTCCTAATTTTATATATTTTTTTTTATTTATCTCGTCCTGATAATAACATCTGTTTGTTGTTGTCCTCGTTGTCAAGGACTTGAACTTTGCATCGATTTCAAGTTGTTATTCTGTCCTGCAAGATGGAGGTGGGGCGACCGGATAAATGCATGTCACTGGACGTTTTTCCTCGTCAGCCGTTAAGAATTGTATGACAGCCAATTTGTTTACGACGGGCTTCGCTATCAGATTCCATTTTGAAAACCGGTGGAACATTATGAACTTTGTTATGCAGGGCGAGAAAGTTCAAAATTAGTGGATACCAGCTTTCAGCTGTTTTCTCTAATTATTTCCTGACAAAAAAAAATTTAGGGTAAATTTTTGTTGAGTTACAATTTATTTCTAGTCCAATCTATTTAATAAGTTCTGAAGAAAAGTTTCTGTGTCCTTCGTGTGCTCCAGGTATTATAAACGTTCATAACAGCCGTAATGAGCACAAGTGGCCTCAGCCCTCTGATTATAAACTGAACCAAAAAATCGAACAACTCGGATTCGTTGCCTGAATGAGCAATTTCCCGAACAATGGATTGGTCGTGGCGATCACCGGACCTCACTTCCCAAGTTACGTGAATCACGTGGTGTATGAAGCTGTGAATCGGGCATGTGTTCCTGTGGCATTTCTGATTGGGTTTGACCACACAAGTCAAAATCCTTTAACACTGATATAAAGTCGTTTGGCATCTTCTGTGTCACTGCCTGTGAGATGTTCGACAGGCAGTACGTTTCTAGTGACTTACATGCATGGCACGCGTGAGCTGTGCGAATATCCCAGGACCCCGCAGTCGTGATCCCTTGCGCTCATTCGGTGCTACGATAGAGTGGATCCTCTCCAGGAGGCCGCGGATCGAGGAGGGACCGTGCGACACCACCGTGGTCACGAAGTCCTCTAGCGTGTGGCGTTCCAGTTGCCACTTGGCGTCGTCTGTCTCGTTGTTGTAGCCCCTCTGGATGTACCTGCGAGACCCCAGAACACGTCACTTTCTCTGTGAGACACCTAGAGTGCATTTATAGTTTTCATTTCGTCCTAGAATAACGAGTGAACGTTTTCCTGAATAATGTTAAAATATCTGCCTTCGGTGAAGAGTACGAATTACGAGGCTCCTCATCATCCAGTTTTCTCCAGCTTCCTGTCGCTTCATGCCTCTTAGGGCCAAATATTTCCCTTTTCTCTGACAGCCTCGATCTCTGTCCTTTCTCTTTGGTTCAGAGACCAAGTTTCGTACCCGTACAAACTGCGTTCCGGTAGGCGAAATGTAAAATTATCACGGCGGCTAGTATGAAGATGTGTATCTTATGGGATGTTGTGTCGTGTACTCTGGACTCGCCGCCCTGACGATGGAGGCAGTAATCGTCTCCGAAACGCCGGTCAGTCTGTACCAGACGACACGGCACAACATCTGCTGTCTTCCGTTACCTGTTGAGCTGCGTGTCTGATGTGTCGACCCGGTTCATCAGGTCTGTGAGTGTGTCCAGGTTACGGTCCACCTTGATGATGTCGGGTAGAGCTCTCAGGTCGTTCTGCAGGTTAGTGATCATGGCGGAGGTGACGGCGTGTTGCTCCTCCAGGCGCTCCAGGTGGCGCGACACTTCCACGATCATTGCCCTCACATCTTGTTCCTTGTCTTGCAACTCGGGCAGCCGCATTCCAGCCATGTTGGCGGTTTCTGAAACAACGTCCAAGGTTTTTCAACAAAATGGCGGATGAGCATTGCCCTTCGGCTTTCACGACTTGTAATTTGTAAGAATAAAAATGTTTCGGATAGTGTTTTCGTTTTGGTGACGTCTTAGTGGCGAAGGTTAAGAATTACGCGACGGTAACGTATGGGGGGGGGGAGTGGAAGTAAAACTTCACGGATTATTAATCTCAGCAACTAGATGGACTGTCGTTGCCCACTGGATAGACTTGAGACAGTCTGGACGCGGTACCGAAGAAAAATAAAGTCTGCATTTGCCGGTAATCGAATCTCAACCTCTGCAGGGAATGATCCCATTGGATATGATTCTGAATGGGCCGGTCTGAACATGGCGGTGGCCAATGGAAGAATCCTTGCCTCTGCCGGGAATCAGACCCGAACCACGCAGTCTTTAAAAGCAACTTGAGCTATCTGGAGGCAGGCTTACCCAGTTCATTCCACATGCTGTAGAATAGTTTTAATATCTCTGACCCCAACTTGAGGGATCCGATTACAGTTGCCACCTCGACCCCGCGCACGTCATTGTGACCCAGGATGACCGCGGCGATTACATACCACCCGAGAACACGGCCGGCACCTGAACGCGCGCACATGTTAATGCACACTGCGAGGACAGGCGTGTAAAAACACCGGAAAGTCCCAACCGCGCCTTCGACGCTCTGGTCACCTGATGCAGTGTCCAGCGAAGCAGGCTCAACGATTGTCCTCACTTCCTCCTAGAATTTACAGTCTCCGATGGTCGTTCGACTGTTTTGTATTGAGTCTACTACGTTTCTATCGCAGGAAGTTCATGAAATGTAGAGACCATAAAAAAAAAGACTTGAGGTCAGCGAGTTCTGTCATACATACACAGCTAACCGCTCAAACACTGGAACCCGTACGTTTCCTGCGCGGTTCGTATGTGCCTCGAGGTTAGACAGCTACGTAGACAGAAGAGAAATTAAACAAAAAGTCTGATTATACACGTACACACGTACCAGTCGCCAAGTGGCTCCACTGATTCTGTCGTCCTTCAACAACGGTTTATCTCCGTTACAAATTTTCTCTTGGCGTAGTGCAGTGCATGGGCATTGTGTAGCTGTTTTTTTTTTCGCTTGTTTGGAGGCTGTGTTGGGCGTAATGGACCCCGTACACTCTGCACCAGATCATTTCTGGGACCCACAGACTCCCAGCGCCTGGTTACAGGAGGACTCTATTCCCTTAGGTAAAGCCGTCGGATCTTGTAGCTAACTGTAACCTCCATTTGAGACCGAACATAGCAGCCGAGTGGTTGGCACTCCTACTTCGAATTCTAGAGAACTAGGGTTCTAAAATTTAGGTCCGGAGACTGGATATCCTTTCCCTCAAGGCAAATGACGGAATAATCTCTTGCACAAGGCCACGACAGCTTTTTCCCCCCAGGTTTTTATTCGGAGGACACAAATTATAAATTATGGTCATGTACGTATGATTTATTTTATTAGTGCACTGTTCATGAAAGATGGGGTGTGGAGGGTGAAAATGCATGGTAGTGAATGATGGATCAGGTTTGAATCACTGAGCTCTTTTGTATATACATGGAGTGTTTGTGTGTGCAGGTTGCGTTTTATGAAATCCTGAGGGACATGTGGGTGCGGAACGGCCTGCAAATCAAGGGGCAGGCCATGACATACGTCCAGTGTAATTTCTGCAACTCCATGGTAGATGCAGATTTGTACCTCTTGCAAATCTGTGCTACCCAGATCCCCCCAGAGATTTTCCTCACCACAGTCATCGACAAGTAAGTCACGCTGCCCTCGTTCTTGAGTTCTAACTGGTTTCCTCCCTTGCCCAATGCATAATTATCTGTGTAGAAAGTCAACATTTTGGAAATATTCATTTGTGGTGGTTCATTTTTGTTAATATTGTGCACAGGTTCCATGTTATGGAGTGGATGAGCCTGGCTCCCTGTGTGGTGAATGACGACTCATTCCAGGATGGGGAACATGACATCCCGATGCTGGAGAGCTGCCTTACATTCCTCGCGACGCTCATGAACATACGGACAAATCTAGGCGAGTCACGATGATAATGAAAATTTACTCTGAAATGAAGTAAGATTACCACAGATTCGTAAACTTTATATGGTACTTTTCTAATATTTGTAGTTTCAGGGAATTTGTGCATTCCTGTTCTTTTATCCATGAATTGAGTTAAATTAATTCATTATGTGATTCTGAGTTTGGTGACCTGCAGGTGTGAATGATACATCACTCTCCCAGCTGGAGATGGTGACTTTGCTATGCATGGGGGACAAGACCCACAGTCAACTAATAGAGTTGATGCCAGAGCGATGTGGTGCTGGCCAAAGCAGAGATTTTGAGGCTGTGTTGACTAAGGTTTGTATCTCATCGAACCAAGTATGTCGGACAAGATGCGCACGCGGTACGCGGCAAAGACATACCATGTGAGGAGTAGAGTTGGAGTTTTAAAATGTGTGGCTTTCAAGAAGGCACAGATTGTGTTTTACAGGTTGCAGACTACAAGGCCCCGAACCTTGAAGCCAGTGGCAACATGCAGCAGGGAATGTATGTCCCAAAACCAAACGTGTGGGAGGAGCTGTACGACCCAATACATGTCCTGTTGAGGGCCATCCATAGACGTGACTTCCAGACTTCCATGGACAGATTTACCGAATAGTAAGTAACATTTGTCAGTTACAGTTACCATTTAACCTTTCTGCATAGGATGATTTAAGAATCTCAGACCCTAACTTGTTGCAGTTTCCGCTGGTCACGCATTCACTTAACTTGTTCCGCCATTTACAACTAATAAATATCCATGATTTTTTACTCTGTTAAAAATTTATAGATGCATTAGATACATATGTCATCTAAAAGCATCGACTTCTGTCTCAAAGACTGTGTACTTAGAATTCATTTAGTCTAAAGACTGTTTGCAAAATGGATGGCACTCCACTTTGATGAATTGAAATTGGTTCTTGCCCATTCTTACATATCCTGTATATCGATTTGTGGGATTATTTAAATGTTTTATTTCAGTGTCCAGCAAGTTAGTAAGTTCAAGGGCAGCGGAACACCCTGGCCCCCATTTCGAATACCGGCACCTTGCAATCCAGCGTATGAAGACCCCAGGAAGCTTCTGTGTTCTAGAGTGTTCCATGCCATGGTGTTTCTTGTTCTCTACAAGGCTGTGCATGGACAGAATGTGTCGGAACATGTGATGGCTCTTGTTATATATCTTCTAGAGATGGCAGTTGAGTCAGCAGAACCGTTCGACCAGTGGAGTCAGGTACTTGTTGTGTTTGAGATAAGTATGTGCTGATTCTGAAGAGGGTGATGGGTTTGTCAAATATCGATAAGTATGTGCTGATTCTGAAGAGGGAGATGGATTTGTCAAATATCAAGTCAGTAAGATTACCGAGTAATTATTAAATGACACTTCCGGCAATCCTACGTCACAAATTTATACATACATCATTTTGTTATTGGTTGTAGCAAATTATAAAAAGTACAAGGTTGTAATTGGCTCTGGCAATGTAATATTCATACCAAATTTTGTGAAAGTCAATCAGTTCAGTAGTTGAAAGGGGAAGGGGGAGATACCATGGTGGTCTAATAATCCTACATTTTTGAAAAGAAGGTGGGCTAAAATCTCTGGCCATGCTGTGAATCAAACTCAAATTGTGTGACCTGTAACCATGTACTCCATTTCCTGACCTACCGTGACTCAAAATGTAAATACTGTATTAGAATAACAGTGAGGCAGTACATTTATGTAAAAGAGATGCCCAGAATCAAGACTGCAAACCGTTTCATCCACATACAGAGAATTGTTTATAAAAATTGTTTTCTGCTATAAAGATTTACAAGACTGCAAACCGTTTCATCCACATAGAGAGAATTGTTTATAAAAATTATTTTCTGCTATAAAGATTTCTGTTATGTTGTCAGTTAAAAGTCATGTTAATTCCTGGTTTTGCTTCTATTTTATTCATGTATCCCTTTTCTGACTTCAGTCTGTGACACTTGTCAGCTGACTCAGTTCAGTTTGTTCATCAAAATTGTGCTTCGTGTGCGTCTCCTCCAGGTCTGTCCAGCTTCTCGACCAGAACCGAAGGAGATAAAGGATAAGGATCTGAATTCGTGGTATAAATCAGACTGGCTTTCCAGTAACCTGCGAACTGTCATCAATATGATTAAAGTGGAACCTGAACCAACAGTTGTGTTTGACAGTTCTGACAGTAAGTGGAAACACGATTTTACCAAAGTGGAGAATGTAACTCGCATATATTCATAGACAACTTGGTACCACATGGGATACTTAACAGACAGACAAACAAACAAACATATGCATATGTTTGCAGGTGAAATAGAGTGGGAGACGTCAGAATTGGAGGGAGATATTTCAGATTTGCCGGTCAGTGCCGCAGTTGGTGGAACCGGTTCAGTGCTGATGGTGGAAGGGATACCAATACAAGCATATGGCATGCACCAATCATCTGGTGAGAATTATCATCTGGCCCTCACTGTCCCACAAGGGGAAATGGTGGTGGTGTCTTCCCCAGACAGTAAGTACAATGCACGCACCAGTGAGGAAAATATGGCTGGCATAGAATTACAGACAAGAATAAAGAACTTTTTTTAATACAATTTAGTTTTCATGGAGGAACTTTACATCAGAAGGTTTCATTTCTAAAGCTAATGAATTTATTTTACTGAAGTTTGATTTGTGGTTTCTGCACTAATTTTAACTGTAAACATTTTCTTTGATCTCGTGAATATTGAATAAGTGAAAGGAAGAATCACTTGTTACTCCAACTCTGAAATATTTGATTAGAATTTGCAATCAGTCATCATCAAGATTTGTCAGAATCATGCAAAATCTCAACATGTTTCAGAAATATGTGCACTCTATTGGAGAACAACTTTCCACGAGGTTTCCACATTAAAATTATGTATTTGGTTCTTGTTTCCCTGATCTGATTATATGCCATACTTTTATTTTCCTGTCTTACACACTTCATTTTGAAAACTTGGTCCTCTTTGGTTTTAAATCTCTTGAAACTAATGTGAGAGACCTTTAACTGTAAATTGAGACAATTTTGAAGTTTTTAATATGCTGTGTTCTGTGTAGGTCCACGTCAAGACCAAGCAGCTCTGCCTTCCATACAACACCATCTAGCTGTACTGGCTGGCACTGAGATGGTTCCTGCTGGCTCCACCAGTAGTTCCAGTAGTAGCAGCAGTGCAGGCATGTAATTTGACCCCTTGAAACGTGCAGTTTGTCAGGCACCATTAAGTAAACAAGTAGTGAGCCTGTAATGAATAAATTATACTTTCAGGTACAAGCACTAGTCAGTCTGCTCTTCCCAGCATACCCCAGCATTTGGCACTCCTTGCAGGTACCGAGGTGGTACCAGCGAACAACCCCAGTCTTTCTGGTGCATCAACGACAGACTTGAGTGTTGAGACGAGCTACCACTATATGCCCAGCGCTTCACCTATAACATTGCATGGGGCACATCAACAGATGTCTCTAGCACCACATAACTCCTCTGAGGTCCTAATATCTTCATCTGGGTCTCGGAAAGGATTGCTCAAGAATAGAAGACGAGTAATGGTACTTTGCTTTCTTTGCATTTTAAGCGTAATATGAAGAAAGGTTTGGGTGTGGCGAGAATCAGTATGCATCTGTTGGCTTAAATTGAAACATTGCAAAAGGTTTTAGGTTCTCACAGTGGCAAGAATAAAGATGGCTGTCTTCCAGATTGTAACGCCGTGCGTTCCGGCAGAAATTTACTGATGTTTCAGAGGTACTTGCTGCCTCCATCATTGCCCTGATGATGGAGGCAGCAGACGTTCATAAACTTCTACCATCAAACGTGCCACTACAACCCAGAAGACAGCTATCTTCACTATAGTACTCTATAATCATGCACGTATGTTCCTGTAAAGTACATGGATTTGATTTATTCCAGGCTGGTACATCTGTCTACCCAGATAAAGTAGAAGTGAATGAAAGCATTATCTCTCTCCTTCTGAAGCTCCATTCCCATCTCTCTGGTAACCCAGACAGCTATAATCCTGATGAACCTTCCAGTAGTAGTAATTTTGATCCATCAGTTGATAGCCGGATAGGGGATGGCCCTTATTTTGTTGCAAAACTGCTGCAGCGGATATCATCGCTAGACTCGCTATGCAGGTGTGTGTGTGTGTGTCGCTTTTTTCATTACCACTGTATTATTTAGGCAGATTTATGAAGTGATGAATACTGTCATGTAAAATAAATATAAAGTTAATATGTAGCAAGTAAGGTGAACGCAATTGTTTCTTCATATATGCATTTCCAGTTTAAAGCGATTGAAGAATATGTCCTGCTATTTTACGTCAATTCATGCTAATTTTTGCATGATTGAGCAGTTGTTAACAGTTATCATGGTGGATGATGGTGTCGTTGCTGCACCTAGCAGTGAGCGATGTTATTTGAATAGCACAGAAGCAGCTGAGAATGCTTTGTCTTGGTCTTATTCCAGCGACTCATCTGCTGCATTGTTCCTCACATCATTTGTTATGGATGTTTTATTCTACAAAGATTATATCCAGTACAGTTAAGGGTTAGGAACGTCTGTCATATGTTTAATAGCTGTCAAGGTGACTGTACTGTCTTATAGGGAAAACATACAAGAGACACGGCATCGTCTGTGGCCTCAGAAGCAGGAAGAAGGGGAAGAGGAACAGAGGGAAAAGGAAGCAAAGGAAAGAGAAGACAGAAGACGGAGGGCCAAGGAGAGGCAGCAGAAGCTTATGGCGGAGTTTGCCTCAAGACAGAAACTGTTCATGGAGAAAGCTATGGAGACAGGTACCTGGCATAAGCCATTATACTCAGACGAACAGTTATGTTTCGTGGTGAAACGGTAGTCGCAAAGGGTGACCTATATGAGCACAAAGAGACTACCATAAATAGCCATAGCTACTCCACCTAAATGAATTCACACTTTCATGTGTTGCGCTACATGGTTTCTGACATACTTTCTGTTGAAGAAATATCAGATTTAATATCTTTTTTAGTTTTAATTTTGAAAGTAATACACCATTAATCACAGTTTATGCAAAGAAACAGTTGAAGATGCATGTTTTGCTGCTTTAATATCTTAATTATTTGAACACAGTGCATTACAACATTCATTCGCACTAAAATAAAGTGTTTGTAACTTGGATTTAGACGTACACCAAGATGTGATGAGATTTGAAGATGTTGGAGAATTAAAATTAATTGTATTTGGAACAACTAAAATGTAATGCATGAATAATTCTGATATGCCGTGTAAGTTTGTTGGATAATCACTTCTGAAAAACTATTTATTATATCTAGACCTTAATGTTAGAAGTTTTGTAGCTTCCCCACTCGATGGTGGGCTTTTAAGTCTCCAAATGATTGTTGCAGATGAGGAAGGTTTGGCAGGAATGGATTGGAATGAGGAGGAGGGAGCCTCATTACTGGCTGCACGACGAGAATACGACTGTGTGATATGTAGTCAAACAACAACTAGCGCCGAGGATAAGCCAATGGGTCTTGTTGTCCTAGTGCAAGTCAGTATTACTCAGCGCATATATTATTTATTACAGGTTTTCTTGTCTGTTGATAGGTAAATTGTGTACAAAATACAATTTATGTGTTCACTGTCATTATTCTTTCAGGTACTAGGTTCAGAGCCTGTTGAATTTTACATCAGGGTTTTCAAACTTTCAAGACCTTGGGTCATATTCACCCTTTCTTGTCGACTCACAGGCCACTGGGTTATAAATGAGAATATTTGATTCAAATTTTATGGCAATTTATTAAGACTGTTACTAACTACAGCAAATGGGTTCACACATTATTCAATAATTTTCTTTGCCAGGATCAGTTACTGGGGAGAAATTTTGACACCGCAATTTGCTTGATCAGTTTTCCAATACCAGTTTAAATTCTGTCGTTGCAGTTTGCATGCGTCCCTCCCAAGTTAAATTTTAGGTTCTCACAGGGCTGAGTGTGAAGATGGCGGCCGTCTGGAATATTGCACAATGTAGTTTTATAGAAGTTGACTGACATTTCAGACATGTGTATGACCCCCATTGTCAACCAAGAAGATTTGGACCAGTCATGCTGCTAATAGAATAAATTATTTTTAAAACAGGCAACAAGTATCTTAGGCCACAAGCGGCGGAATGCAGAACAATCGATTCTACCGACAAGCGAAGAAGAACGTCAGAATCTGCGGAGAGATGACAGTCTGGCAAGTGAGTTTGACCGCCGTGTGGAGGAACTCGGTCGCCAGTTTAATCCCGTAAGTCGAAAACAGGACCTCGTTTAGCATGGACCCAGGATTTTTATGACGGAATTACAGGAAATATTGAATCTGTGTTGCTGTTGCAGTTGTCATGGCTGTTAGCAGTGAATCTTGGTTGGGAGGGTGGTGTTCATGTGCAGACCTGTGGTCATCACTTACATTTGGACTGCCTCAAATCATATCTCAAATCCTTGCGCGGCCAACAACGGCAGCAAAGCCTAGCTGTTGACAGGTATGGTTTGGGCCCGTGAACCTGTTCATTCTGCACTCATATTGTGGGGGAAAATGTTACAGTCTTCTATGAAACTCTGCCACTTACAAATCATAGAAGTTATGACATAGATCAGGTTACTGGCCTCATACCACAAGATCCAGGTTCAGTCCCAAGGCAACCCCATGTGGAATTTGTGCTGACAAAATCAGTCATGGTGGTTTGAAAGAGAGGATAAAGACATGCCGTAAATAAGAAGCTTTAATGGCAAATTGTACAGTGTCTTCAGTGTGAAACTGAAATAAAGTGTTATTTAAAAATGAAACATGTTACAAAAGCTGTGGAAAGTGTCAGTGCGCAGCTGTCTTTTACTCTCATATTCTGTCCCATTGTCTGAACTTATTTTTGTCTCAGATACATATTTAGATTCATGTATGAAGTTTTAGCAGAGTGAGTTATTCTATTTGTATGAAAAGTCAATTTATAAGTTTGTTATACAATGATTATGGTTCTCAAAACAAGCGAATTTGAAGGTGATACAAATTATTATTCATCTGTTGTTGACAGGGGGGAGTACTGGTGCCCTCTATGTCGGCAGCTTGCTAATTCAGTGCTGCCATTGTCTCCGCAACTTGGTGAGGGCACAGCCATTGTCAGATCTCGACCAGCCAGTTTGCCTTCCATAGTATTTGAACTCACCAACTTGTTGACAGAAAATCCACCTAATCCAGTAAGTGTTTTTTGAAAACTTTGCTGTCAGCATGCTCAGCATTTATCAGAGTGTCTCTTATAGTAATACCTCGTATTTATGTTCCCGGAATGTACAGAGTATTTCGGTGCTTCAGGTACCCTCATCTTTAGCAGACGCAATGGCAAAGGCAATGGAAGATATGACTAATGGCACTCACCACAAGTTTAAACAGAAAACTTCTTCACCTACACCACAGAGTTTGTTCCTGTTTGTAAGTTCCATTGCAAGGACAAACCTGGAGGTGGAGCTGGTTCAAAGAGGAGGTTCACTTGTTACCTCTGCGAGCAGTTCTGGGCATACGTCTGGCAGCAGTTCTGCCACCGGACTTGCCAGCAGTACCGTCTCTGACAACACTCTGATACCACTCAAACATAAACGCTCATGTATAGGTGAGATCTTAATTTTACTTGAGTTTGATGACTTTATGTACCTCTTCGAATGTTTCAGTATCATAATCTGATAGGACTGATGTCTGTGCTATGTACCAGTTCCATTCACCTCCAATTCTCATAACCTATTGTCCTAATACGAATTATAATATTAGCCTTCCATCTCTCTTAATCTTTGAAATATCTTGTTTTCCATAAAGGTGGGGAATTTCTTGACTATCCAAGTGACTGTAGCTTTTTGAATCTTGTTACAGTGCCCCTCCTGCATGTATTGGCAATGCATGGCCGTCTGCTAGCGCGTTGGCCAGCCTGGCATATGTGGCAACAAGTGGCAGGAATCAGATCTGAATCTAGGGCCGTAGCTCTTACGCCATATGAGAAGGAGGTGCCTCTTCTGCTACGAGATCCTACTGCACTTTTAACACAGTTTATTCTACTGCTCCCACTTCACTTAGATCAAAGTAAGTGAGTTACAAAACTTTGGAAGAGAAATGCTAACATTTCCCTGTGGTTTCATATACTGTTTCTTAAATGGAGAAACAGTCTTTCCATAAGCTACTGGTACTTGGTTAGGTATGAGCTGGGGTAGCTCAGTGAGTAGAGTGTCTGACTATGAACTGGATGACTGGAGTCCCTGGCAGTGTCAAATGATTTTTCCTCTAGCCTCCTCCTTCTTGGTCACTAGAAAACTTCTTACCCTGCAGCAATTGTTTTCAAGAGTCCGAACACTGAATAGATAAATGGAGCTGTGTCCACGCTGCCAGGTGTATGGTTAAGTCCCTTAAATTCACGGTCTTTTCTGTACATCAGCCTGTAGGTGCAAGCTTAGTTGCATGTCTCAGTTTAATGGAGGTTTTGTATATTATTTCACAGCTTACTTCTCGTGTATTGTCAAAGTGTTGTACAACCTGCTGTACTTCCAAGTGGTGGCACAGCTGAGCTGTCACATGACAGAACAGGAAAGAGCCCAGTGGCATCCCTCTGACAGTGAACAGTCAAGCAGTTGTGGAAATATGATGTCACTGGATGAAGTGATGGCTCTCGTTATTGGGCTTCTTGAGGAGACTCACTTATACCAATTGGAGGACTTGAACTGCAGTATTCATGAGGGTGAGATGGGATCCAGCATGGCTGTATCATTTCAGGGCAACAGGGACAGAGTGGAGCTGCAGGTTTGTGTATGCTGTTTCCTTTCATTTTGGTCTTAACACAACATTCATGTTATCATTATCAGCCACTGGCTTTCGTGCAACAACATTCATGTTATCATTATCAGCCATTGGCTTTTGTGCGTCATGGATCATCTCACGACAGAGCCCGCTCAGTTGATGAAAAATTGGTAGGTACACTTTCAGAACATCCTTAGCTATCTAAAAGTTATCCTCAGACCACGTTTAAGATACACGTTCACAAATTGTGTAATTAAAAATACATTCATTATCATGTTACTGAGCATATTGGTATAGCAGTAAAAATCAAAAGGGCCCAGTTCAGATCTTCGCCAAGTCACTGGTTACCACTGCTTACCTAAGTAAGCTAAGGAACACTCAAAACCTTGTTTCACTCTACAGGTGCAACAGCTGTGTTTACCTTTCCTGCGGATAGCAGCTCTTTTACGCCACCATCTGTACAATCAGGCCCTCCCAGATATCACCACTGAGCAGTCAGAGTTTGTGCGGCTCGTGTACTACTTGGAGTTGGTTACTGAAGGGATGGACTGGCGTCTTTTTAATGCAGCTGTTGCTCTCAACTGGCCCACTGCTGGCAATGAAACGGGTCATGCCTGGTGTGGGGAGCTAGTTGTCTTTGTAAATCGTAGCCAGATTTCAGCACGTAACCTTCTTATTGATCAGCACCTCACGTGGCATCAGCCTCGGCTACTTCGGTTACCTTACCTGTATGATAAGATATTTCAGGTATGTTATCTTCTTGCTGTGTTGCCTGGGCTTAAGCCTCTCAAGAATGAGGTTTTTTATCCTGTTCTTAGGTGCAGAAATTCTTGATATCTTTAAATATGATGACTTCATGTTTGTGTGGTTTCTTTCTGCTCACTGTTCTGTACTGTCACCAGCCTTTCTACAGAAGTGTTGCACATTAATATATGTCTTTTTTTTTTCAGTATTACCATCGCAGGCAGTGCAACCAATGTCATTCAGTACCACGTGAGGCCAGTATTTGTCTGCTGTGTGGAACGTTGGTCTGTCTTAAGGAGGCGTGTTGCAAGCAGTCAAATGTGTGTGAAGCTGTGCAAGTACGTGTTATAGCAGTTGTTTGTATAACTACGCGGAAGGGTGCTTCTTCCTTTGAACCTTAGTTTACTGTCGTGAATTCAGAAACAGGTTACTGTCTTGAAAAATTGTCTGATGCCACTAGCCATTTAATGACATCTAAATTATTTCATCCCTTCATTTATGCACAATTCTGTCCCATTGATCAGTCTGTCAAAATCTGGAAGCTTCACTTGTACTATTATTTATGAAAATGTCCATTATATAAGATGTTACTGTCCATTTGACGTATCTGTATAAGTGAAACATTTTATTAAAAATTCTTGGTTGGCCTTTGGTGATGAAAGATTGCTGTTATAATGTCATGTGTCATATTCTAGCATGCTATCGACTGTGGAGGGGGCACTGGAATGTTCTTAGTGGTGACATCGTCGTACATAATTGTGATCCGAGACAAGCGTGCCTGTCTGTGGGGCTCTGTCTACTTGGACAGCTTTGGGGAAGAGGACCGTGAACTCAAGTAAGATTTTTTATAATTGCAGCGTGTACATGCATACCAAAAAGCTTCATGGAGCAGAGTCCTTAATAAGCTCATAATATGCTCATGTAGTCAAGAAATTCTCTGCCTTTTATGGAACCTGAAGATTTGTTACCGTGTTCACAAGAACCTGCCACAGTCCCTATCCTGAGTCAGATGGATCCAGTTAACACCCTCCAATCCTATTTCTGTAATATCCGTTTTAATAGTGTCTTCCCACCTGTGCCTAGGTCTTCCAAGTGTTCCTTTCCTTTCAGAATTTCCAGCCATATTTTATATATATATCTCATTATCCTTATGCCCCACCCATCTCATCCTCCTTGATTTGGTAATCCTAATATTTTGTGAAGAGTACAAATTATGGATTTTCTCCAGCCTCCTATCACTTCATATCTGTAGTGAGACCGGCTGTGCAGTACTATAAGCCATAGATTTTTTTTCCAAATCAAACAACATATTCCTAATCAAGTAAGATGCAAAATATAATTTGTTTAAATCGTGTCACTGTCTTCTTTTGTTCAGGCGTGGTAAACCACTCTACCTCAGTGCTAGCCGTTATCGGCTGTTAGAAGAACAGTGGCTTTCCCTTCATTTTGACCACACGAACAAGAAGTGGATATGGCATCGTGACGGACTGTGAGATAGACATAGCTATATTAGCAAATGAAGTAAGTTTGTGGAGTGCTACATCAATCACGTCTCTGACTTCATCAGCCACCAGATTACTGGTCAAAGAACCACCAGTCTCTTTCACACCAAATAAACACAGCCCTATAAGGATACAGAGCCAGCCCGACATGTTTCACACTCGTACAGGTGGGCTGCATGAGTTGTATGCCAGAACAAATTTCAGAACAGGAGGTTTTCAGAGAGTGAATGTTGAATTATTCTTTCTACCAGGGTGTATCTGTGGATTTGTAAATCTGTTTTGACTTTGAAGAGGCAGATTATAGTTGTCTGTATTATCAGTCCACATTTCTTGCTTTGTACTTACAAAATTATGAATGTTTATCCCCACTTACTGCAAAACCTATCTCTACAGGTTATGCAGGAATTGCCAATCTGTAAACATATAAATGTAATGACAGTGAGCTGCATGGCTTGGGGTTCAGTTCCTGGCAGGAGCAGTTTTTATCTTCACCAGCTCATCAAGACTGATCTGTGCATCCTGTCTAGAGGTACCAGGGGACTGTCTCTCTGGAAGTAAAGTGGTTGTGACATGAAGCTGATCACTGGCATTCATTAGTACCTGGATTAAGAATGTGTGAAGCATTACTGCCATTCTCCCATGTATCCTCATGGTGGGATGCTTGAACACGGGAAGAAATCTTTATTTTACAGAGAGAAGTCTGTGCCCATTGTAAGAAGAAGGTGTAAAAATTAACCATGACTAAGCAGCTTATGCCATATTGTCTCATTTGGTTCATTGGTCATTGGTGGAGTTACACTTATAAGTTTGGCAGCTTGATATTACCTGTCATTCACAGTGATGATCACTGATGATGATTGACTGTAGCAATGAGAAAATTCACTTCTGTTCTGATCGCTCTGTGGTCTACACACGCCATGTAAGCAGTTGAGGGTTGAACATTATTTGCGGTGAAGATTATCTGTCATCGCTTTTTATCAGGTCCTGGATAATTAATGGGGAACAAGAATGAACTGTAAAGAAAACTGATGATTCACTAAAGGTAAGATCAGAAACACACTGCTGGTGAATAAATGGAATGAGCTGCATAATATTCATCTAAATTGGATTGATATGACAGTCTTTTATAATCCAAGACAATAACACTATATTGTTGCATTACATTCCTTATTTATGAATTTATATTTTGAGACAGGGAACTGGTCATCTGAGGGCAAAGATCGTCAAAAGTCAAAGGATTCCTTGTTATTTTCACAGTGTGCAGGTATTTTTGCACGGATATCACAGTCTAGACTTGAGGTTATGTCTGCTGTGGTTCACAGTTCACATGAATTTATATGTCCAACCTGCCAGAATTCTCATTCATTCTATTAGTGAAGAACAGTATCTTCCCTGTGGATACTTCCCTCTCATAAATGGATCTCTTCATCTCGCCTGACAGGCAAAGGCCAGCCATACCTGGAGCATTTACTACAACATATATCGAGACACTCGGTTATGTTCATTTTCGTGGTATTTCACAAAGAGAAAAATGTGTGAATTCAGAAACAAGCCATGAATAAAAAAAAATCACTGATATCAGACCTGCCACAAACTATTGCATATATTTATGAGAATGTCATATTTTTCGGGCTGTAAGGTGCATCCAGATTTTTTAAGGAGATTTTAGGGGGAAATAACATGCTATGCCTTCAGTCTTCGACCTGCGTGCAGATTTTAGATACCATTTTCCAGTGGGGGGGGGGGGGTGTATATGACTTATCCTTTGTAAAATATGTTAATTTGTGACCAAGCAATGTGAAGTAATATTTGTGAGTGCAAAGTTGTGAGTTTGTGTTTGATTTCAGTGCTGTAATGTTTGTATTGTGTGTCTACGAATAATCTTGTTATATTTGGATTCAGATCTCTGCATTTGATGACAGCCAGTGATAGGTTATCCCAAGTGCAGAGTTTTATCAGTGCCACATAGTCCCATGAGGAACACATTTCAAAGTCAAAAATTATGTGAAGTTTTTTCTTGGAATGTTCTCTTCTTTTCTCATTTCTCCACTCTTGTTAAGTTTTCATCTGTCATAAAATTCAAACATGGGTCTGCATACAGCATATTTTTCAAAGTTGTGTATATTTGTCACTCTGGGATACTAGTGTTCTTTCTCATTGGCATGAAATCGGCAGGAGCTTTATCTTTCAATATTATTGCCTCCTTGCATATTATACGAACACTAGATTTAGTATCACATGCTTCTTGACATTTTGAGAAATAAGTGTAATTTGTTGTTCTTAAAATGTGTATTTTGTAAAGAAATTATTTAACAATTGTGTGATTGAATTCAAAGATTTTAAGTCTCTGCTGTCTCAACTCACACAACTTTGCAGTGACAGATTCAGAATCTGTTGTGTATTTTCATATTAAATTATACAGCCCAAACATTTATTACATCTACAGCAAAAGTTGCCACTGGGCCCTAGTGGGATAAAATATTAAAACATCTTGCAGAAACAGAAAATGAGGGTGTAGTCTGGATTCAAGTAGTTCATGATAGGGTGCACTGTAAAATTTTATAAAAGTAGTGATGAATCTTGAGGTTATTTAATCCTTCAGTCATACCTGGTCCATACCACATATAGAGACTGGCACTGAAAGGTTAAACATAGGCAATTTCTTATCGAGGTGAACAGCCGAACCACGTAATTTAGTATTTGAATGTCAGTCCCTACATTTACAATCTGTGTGTGTGTGTTGAGTACCAGTTGAAATAGAAATTGAGTGATTGCCTTTTATGGGTAGTTTCTTATCCCCTTTATGTATGCAAAGGGTTTTTCAGATATTTTTTTATACCAAACATGTGTGACATCATATTGGGTGCCATATCTTGTGGTCTGAGTCAAAAATTAGTTTCCACACTGCATAAAAAAAATCTAAAAATTTCAGGATCATTATCACCATGAGGGCTTTAAAGTTTCAAATTAAATAACTCTTAATACTTCAGAACAAATATGAATTTAAAAACTGCATAGTGTAAAATGACAAACAGGAAAATTAACTTTCAGTAGTAAGTAATGGAAAGTTTGAGATTTAGTGTTTAACCTGAGAGGGAAATTTTTCTTGCCTATTCTCCATTTTTAGTAAAACTTGGGACATATATGTAGTGTGTGTGTGTGTTTGTATATATATTTCTTCATTACATTTAAGTATGTTTTGTCCTAAAAAAAATCCAGTTCATGGCAGAAAATTCTGTGCCACCCAGAGAGATGGTTCCATTTACATTTAAATTCTCAAGTATTTGGTAACTTCATAATCGACACTGCCCATAACATTGTGAACTCACGTTGCAGACCAAATAATGATTAAAGTCTATGCAAACAGATCAGTCATGTTTAAATTTGCCTGAATTTAGAGTAGTTTTATTTTACTTATATTCACATTTCCTTTATCTAAATTTAGTCGGAATGTTGTCAGAGTGCTGCATACAAGTAATTATACGGTAATTATATGAGTGCATAGTATTTTGCAAAACAAAAGTACATAAAAATGTATTTCAGTCATAAATGAACATTTATTTTTGCACAAATTTGTGCAGGAATCCACCACAATTAAGAGTGTAAGTTCTTTTGTGTTTGCATATACTTCATATTGAAGTGCAGTGTTGTGATTGCTCGTTATCAATCACGTCCAGTAAAAGTGTTTGATGTGTTTGCTCAGGCTACTTCGATTCATTTACAGTGTTCGTTAAAAAATTGTTATCATTCTTCATTAACTTGTCTTATTTGTACAAAAAATTACTTGGCCAATGTCAGAAATATCATCAGTATAAGAAACTCTGTAATTCAAGTATCTTCTGTTGTGGGTGTTAAGTATTGTTAGTGTAAGTTGCAGATCTGCTGTTCTGGATTCTTAATAAAGGCCACACGTCGTTATGAAGAGATCCATGTATGGTGGGGAGCGTCATGTTAATCTGTCAAGCAGTTAAATATATTTGTAATCAATTGTTGGGTATTTTGCATTAAGTAACAAATGTAATCCTTTCAGCATTATTTGTTTAAAGAAACGTGTGCAAGATGTGTACTGACAACCACGCAGTGCACACATTTAAATTATGGCTCACTGCTAAATATTAAGCACTTTCCCTGATATAATATAGATGACTTATGTTACTTGTACTGTTGAAATGCACTCGGTTCTGCTTTGCAGGTGATGAAGACAAACCATATTTTATGTAACACCACTGGATAATAAGAATGTTGATTATGATAATAAATATTCATCAACCAAGGTCTATGAAATTCTTGTCCTTAGATTTTCATGCTGGAGTTCAATGTATAGCTTCAGATTCTGGGTGTGAGCTGCATCGATGTGACTCACACCCAAAAGTCAAGTTATAAAAGTTCTGTGTAGTATTTGTCATGATATATTGAGCCATAGTTTTATTCTGTGATGGCACAACAGACTGATACATTTGCTTGTATGAAACAAATGAAATTCCCTACTTTTACCAATCTCTCCATTACATCAAAAATGCATCTTTGTATATACTGTACCTTATAATGCCAATTATTACTTTCTAACCCAATTAGCAATGTTAATACTTCAGACCTTTAGAAGACTATAACTGATTTGAGATTGCAAATTTATGTTTATAATATGAATAAACTACAGGGGAGCTGAGTTTGTTTATAATACATATTGAAGGAATAATGTAGGAAAACTTTGTGTTTATATGAGACAGGGATTGTTATTTTACTGGTCAGGACTAGATAAATAAATAAAATTCTATGTTACAGATTTTAAAAATATATTTTCACTTTTTGGTGAGAATTGTACAGTCTATTTGGTTAGGAATATCAAGAAATAAAGGACCTTTCAAATAAACAAAAAATTCAAAGTGTACTTCATCATTTGTTGCCAAAATGTTTAGTTTCCTCACATCCTCTTATTGTACCTTTTAGAAGACATTTAATTTATCCAATCCATAGTTGCACTTAATGACACATTCATATAATTGTTACGTGTATATTTTCAGGGGAACATGTTTCCAGAAAGGAAATGTTATGATCAAAGAAAGTAATGTTCATACAATTTTTCCAGTGTTTATCCTTATGCTTATACAAAAGATTCATATTCTTTACGAACAATCTAGTGTTCATTGATAAACTGCAATGCAGCTATCACTTCTAACCCCCTGGCAGAAACTGCATGAATCAGCCACCCAGTGCTTCATGATTTAACCCATTACAAATGTCGCTCAAGAACAATAAAATCAACTTACCTACATTATAAGAAATGCTGAATATGATGTCCCCTGTGACAGTTGCATTGCAGTATATCAGTAAATGCACTGTACTACATAATGTGAAAGAGGATACTTGTATTAACTGTCTTTTGAAGATGGCCAACTACACAGTAAAACAGCCATCGCAATGAGAACTTAAAGCCTTGGAAAGTGTCTTTTGTCTGCAGAGTTGCATTTCAAAGTAGGCCAAGATAAACTACTTGCACATGCTTTCTTACCAAAATTGTTTTCAACTAAAAGTGACAAAGTGATCACTTTCTTTGGTTTTTGATGGATGACTTTTTGGTTTGCATACGTATGGTATGTTCACAAGGAAAATGTATTTATTGCCAAAAAGTGATCATTCCTTCAGTTTTTTAATTCAGTGCTTTCACAATGTGCCACATCTTTAGTACCAGTGTTTACAGATTTTGCTAAAGACAGGTATAAGCCCTTAAAAACTGAAGTAGCTGAAATAAAATCATTAAACTAGCACTGTGATTTAATGACCATTGGCCCAGCCTGGGTATAAAAATGTAGTGGTTGTTGGCTCTTTGTGTGAATGCCAAACTCTGCAGTGCGCAGTCACAAGCTAGTAGTCAAGAGTACACGCAAGCATGTCGATACATGTTGCTTAGTGGCAGGTGATTCACTCACAAGCTGACTAGCAACACACATAGCAAACATGACTGTCATCCAATGCTGTTTTGAGGCAGACAGCACTGAACACTGATCCAAGGAATCATGAGAACAGTTTGGACCATATTTCAAGAATGAATGCTCAATTTCATGTATGGGCCGACTTTTATAATCTGAATTCTGAAGAGCATTCATCCTACTTAATAGTGTGTTCAAAATGTCTTGCATCTTTGTGGACATATATGTTAATTTTAAAGTTGTCACATCTGATATTGCAACGTGAAAAACCAGTATCTATAACATTATTCTGTCATAACATCCCTCCACGCCAGTTCAATCCTATCCACTTTATGAAGTTTTCTTTCCTAAAAGTGCATGTTAGTACTAATCCTCCCACTATTGAGGAAAGACTTCTGAATGTAGCAAATGGTGTATGCAGTGTCTCGAACAAATTATTCTGTATTCTGCCAAACATTTATACCACATAAAATTAATGCACTTATGTCAACAGCATTCCTTCCAGCCATTAAATAGACTTAACATTTTCTGCTCCCAATGAGTTTCCAAGTTGAAAATAATTATTTAAACCCTCATCATCAAAAGTGCTTTAATACAAAATTTCACATTACAAACAATTCCTGTTCTCAGATCTACTTACTTAAGAAAGGTACATTGAGAAAGTTAAACATGCTTTATTAAACACAAAAAATACTAATTCAGAAAATGTTAGAGAATCCAAACCTGTTTAGAGACCCAAATGATTTATCAGTGTTGAACATAAGCCGCCTACATCTGAATGTGTATAAGTAACACTCAAATCTAATGTGCATTGGTTTTGAAAATGAAAACTCTTTCTTTGAAACTCTCAAGCCTTTTATCACTAATTAAATGTAATTGTCTATTTGGTAAATTACAGTTATGTTTTCCTCTTCCCCCCCCACACAACAGATAATTAAAACACTGATTAAGAAATGAAATATAAAAAATCACATACTTTCCACAAATACCACATTTTGTAAAATTAAAAAAGCATGTCTTCAGCAAGCCTGAAGTTTACAATTCTGTTAACCTTTCTACAAAATATAATTCGTATCTGCAAGTAACAAAGTATTGTAACTTAAAGTATATTTTCTACACAAACCTGTTAACCTTTCTACAAAATATAATTCATATCTGCAAGTAACAAAGTATTGTGACTTAAAGTATATTTTCTACACAAACTGTAAGAAAATGTGCAGAATATACTTGACAATCCAAACAATACTTCAATGTTGCAATGTTGAAAAAAGAAAAAAAAACACAATTAAATGACAAGGAATGTGAATAACACTTAACTGGCATTAGTTTAAATTGGGGGGGAGGGAGGCAAGTCCACAGTATCTAGCACTCTCTCTCTGATGTTTTAAACCTGTGAAATATAAAATTGGCCACACCATGTTTCAGGCCCAAATATGTTTTCACTTTCATGTCATGTAAGATCATTCAAAAGCCTCCTGTTTGCTCTTGGTACACCTCAATTACATCATCATTCTCCATCTCCAGCTGTTTTGGCGTTTCATCATCATTTATTCGTCGCCCATCAAATAAAAACCTAAGTGACGTGACAGGAACACCCTGTGAACAATAGACTGATTTTGTCATAGTCTGACAGCATGTAACACTTCTTGGTATTATAGTTTCCCAAAAACATGAGTAGAGTATACACATATATGGAATATTAACCTTGTTATCAATTCCATGTGCCGTGTTTACAAGGGGAACCTAGTGTGGCCTACACACAACACCTACACTAAGATTCACTAATGTCAATACTAACAAATGTAATTGTTTAGTTTATTGAAATGTTGATAATGTGTATATACAGATATTTTGGCCATTCTTGTGTTGAACACATACTACTGTGCAATATTATTACAAAAACAAACAGTGCTAAATGTAGAATCCTCCCCATGCCTACACACACCATACATAATTGACATATAAAGGGCTGGGGGTAACACTACACATATACATAAACTTCGCATCACAGCTTCACACTCAGGCTGTAACTGGACACAACCCCATCACTCTGGATATACCAGCAAGGAGGAAAATTGTATTAACATTAATAACTATGCTGATGGTCACCAATATTAAACTTCCCGATTATAAAAGAACAAAGATCAGCCGCAAATAACATACAACTCAGATTTACATCAATAAATATGAATAAAAAGTTTCAATTATAGGAAGGTACCATAACTCACCACGCGTTCACTGTATGACTTTTTCAATTTCCCCATCTGGGTAGTCATCTTAACTCTGAAATGTATTTCGTTAGAATCCTGAAAAATGAATTCGTAACACAATAAACCAATACCTCTTTAGTCTTACAAAAGCTAATAATATTGCCAAATAACAAACTCCAATAAGTGGTCCATATACACAAATAGAATAAAACAATATATAACCAATTTACTTACATTTCCAACGACTTTCAATTTGATGTATTCTGAATTTGCGTCCCCTGGACCGGCGTCAGGTTTCTGTTCCTGAAAATTATGTTCTAATTATGCACCTGTTTTCAAAACCATATAGAGTAGCTTTTGTTTTCTTAATTACTACTTTGAACAAATTTACAGAGTACAAAACATACAGTTATGAACATTTTTACCTGATTATCAGACATCTTCACCAGCACGCGCCACTGTTACCTTAAGTACCCAATATGGCGCCAAGCTTTGTCAAAATCACAGCCCTCTAAAAAGGTCTTTCGAAAAAAAATGGCGACGTGCTATCAAGTACATTTAGAAAAGTTAAGCACAATTCATGGTTATAAATTGTGGTATGTAATTGGTCGATTTAAATACTAAAATACACATACAAGAACATAATAAAAAATGAGGAGCATTAATTCAGTCTTGATCTCGGAATTGTCATAAAATACAATATATGGAGATTACAAAATACTTATTTATATTAGATTAGCACATATGTTATATTTAGGTTTAATCATTTAGATATACATTCATTCACAGAAGTAGTGGTCTGTCGTGTTTAACAAATGACTCCGATTTCAATCCTTCCAATACACAGCCTTCTAAATAATAAGAATACGTAGAAATTCACATTTCCAAACGCCCTAGAATCATATATTTTTAAAGGTATTACTATCTACAGTGAAGGTTAACTTGAGCGTACCATGCGTTCTCAGACAGACAGGGATTGTCTAACAACGTTGTGCAACAAAAATGGCAGTATTTTGGGTTGTTGCGCCGTGTAAATTTGTAGAACTGTACCGACGTTTCGGAGGTACTCTGAACCCGTGAGGGATCTCTGAAACCTTTGTAAACTTTTACCAGGCTACACGGCGATACAAACTAGAAGACAGTCAATTTCGGACTCTTTGGCGCGAAAACCTTAAATCTTACATAAACACCGCACACATAAGAAGCTGTAAATAAAGATACGTCATTCATGTTGCAACCAGTATTATAACTACGAAATAAACCAAAAATAATTGTCATAATGGTAATAGTGATTGCAGCGCTAGGTTGCCTAATGTGTGTAGAACTGAAAGCTTCATTATTGCCTATTCTCTTTCATTCCGTTCATGGATTTATCAGGAAGTACAGCTGAGATTGAACTTTTAATTTTTTTGTTTCTTAGAATCTGTGACAAGCTGAATGTAACATTTTGGAATGGAATGTGCAACGTGTGGGTGTGCGAATGTGTTTTTTAACAGCTGCAGAGTCGTACAAGGTGGATAGCACATGGTATTAAGTGTCATTTAGATGTTCACTTTTCATTCAGTTTCTAATTATTCTATTAATTTCATGTGTGTGCATGGTTGGTGTTATTTTTGAAGAGGGAGAAACATGGTAGTTGTGTGTTGTGGGTTTTGGAATTCTCATGATTAGTACGCTGTTGCACTTCACGTTTTATTGAGTCAGTTAAATTACGTGATCAGAAGACAGTTGATAAGATCATACCTGTTTTGTTTCGGCTTAGTTGGTATATGCTTCTAAACTAGTTTTTCTCTAATGCACAAAGTTTGTTGACATGTATAACTGCTTCATGCCAGAGAATGTCAGAGGCAGTATTGTTAGGATAAAGGCTATGATCAACAGGACATACAGCTCTGGATGCTTATGATCAGGAATGCATACAGATTTATGATGGAGAAGACTGAGGGGGGAAAAAACAATCCATTTTGAAGATTAAGAAGATGGGATAGCAGTGATGTCAGGAAACATAATCTGTTTACTTTTTCATGTAGGGTACTGATGCGAGATGAGTTGGAATGTACAAGGGATTGTGGAGGATGCCTTGGTATCTTCAACACGTGCCATACAATTTGATCGTGATGGACAGTATGAAGTTGCTGCATTCTACTATCGTGAAGCAGCAAGATTCCTTGAGCTGGCAGTCTCAAGCACAGCCGATGATGGAAACAAGGAATCATGGACAAATAAGGCGGCCGAGTATAAAATGCGTGCTCAAGCACTTGATCAGCTCAGTGAGTTTGTAATTCATTCAGAATTTGAAGCTTTGCCACAGAAATAATCTTTGTGGTGTTTGATTTATGTTTTACACATTTGCCCTCGGTGGACTAGTCGTCAGGATGCTTGCCACTGGACCCAAGGTTCACGGGTTCAAACCTGGTCAAGGTCAATGGATTTTTAAGGGTGATAAAAATCCATAGCACAACTTCCTTCTGGGGGGAAGTAAAGCCGGCAGTCCCATGTTGTAGATTTATGGCATGTAAAAGAAACCTTACGAGCATGAACGAAATATTTCGTAAGCACAATTTAGCTGCCATTTCTCACCCAAGTCTCTCCTGATTCACTACTAGATGGCTCTAGCAGACAAATCAGGATTGAGTAGAAATTGTGCAGAGGCAATGAGCTTGTCACTCACTATTCATAAATGCACACTTCAAAGACAAAGAAACCTCCCACATGGGAGGAGGCCAAGGCTCGACTTCGGGCTGTTGCGCTATGACAGAACAGAACTTTAATGAAACCATAATATTTCACATAGTATTTTTTGAAGCAGGCAGGTTGATTGGATTTTTATTGAAATCTCTTGCAGTGAATTCTAACAGAAATGCATTAACAAAACATAAATGTCATGTACCAAGTTTGATCTTTCAATTCTTATTATGTGTAAGTAAACTTGGTGGTTCAGGGTTAAACCAGCAGGCTGCAGAACAGCCGATGGTGCAGTCAGAGAGTCAAAAACAGCTACAGCAGTGCCACTTCCTCTTCAATCAGGCGCTGGATGCAGATGAGGCTGGCAATAAGGATGAAGCTGTGCAGTTGTACACACAGGCTGTTGAGTTAGGGATCAGTGCAGTAAGTGTCCAGAAAAATTGAAAATTGTCCTCCGAGCCCCATTACTGTGCTGCACATATCTATCCCCTGATACAGTTGCAGACAAAAATAATGTAATTGTCAGTAAATTGATTTTTTTGTGGTTTCTTTGCATAAAAAACATGAAGTGAATGCATGCAGAGGCAATACATGTGTCCATGTGTTTCATGTCCGAAATGATTCAACAGATTTTGATGAAATTCAGTATTAGTGTATTGAGACTCAATAGCTTGTATTATTCCAATCAGTACATGAGCTCAAATGAAATTTTATAATTTTTCTCAAAAGTTGGTTAGACATTTTATTCATGACATGAAATATCTTATATGGTCTGGTTTTTGGAAAGAAAAAAAACAGATTTTCATTGTAAGGCATGCCATTTTTGACACTCTACTTCTTAAACATTGGACTAATTTTTGTGTAACTTGGTGTGAAAGTAGTTCTGTTGTAGGACACCACACAGCTTTTTCTTTTCCCGCAGATGTCTTCAGCCAGTGACCCTGAGCTGCAGAATAAGCTTAATTTTCTTGCTCGTCGGGCACTGGAGCGGGCTGAGGAACTCAAGGGCATAATGCCACAGTGTGAGGAGAAACCCTCAAGTCACGCGTCTGTTCGGCCAAAACTGTGCCCAGTACCAGAACACACAACTTCCAATGTAACTGTGCGGGCCACAGCAGCAGCTAACAGGGGTAAAGTTACTTTTCTTCAGGTTGTGTACATGATGCATTAGACAGGAATATAATCCCTTAGGACCGTTCTGGATGTGTTGATGGTTGAGAAGTGTCTCGTTCGTAGATTCTTTGATGATACTGTATCAGATGCAGAGTTTATATAGCATTAGGTGAAACAGGAAGATGTTTAAACATAGTGAAAGGAGAAAGCGGACCTGTCTGAGAACTTGCCTGGAAGGTATGAGGCAAAGCAGGAAATGTTCCAGCTGAGAGTCAAGGTATTGCTTGAATACAGGTCTTATGCAAGAATACTGGGTGAACCTGCTTAGTGGATGTGGTGGTGGGGTGATTATTTAGTTCCGTTACCGTAATGCAAATTACTAACTAGCTCACTAAACTACTGTATATTACATGGAACAGTTACTATAGTAAAGACACATTTGTTTTAAATTCAAGGTACCACAAAGTATAAATTTTGAATTAAAGAGTCTTGTTTTTCTTGGTTTCTGTCTCTACAAAATATTCTGTGTTGAGGGAAGTGTTTCAAAAGTAGTGCTGAGCAAAATACCCAGTCTCAAGGTAGGTGAAACTAGTTACAGATGGAGACTGTTGGATATGAGAGAACGCCGTCAAATATTGTTTGAAGCCGTGAGATAAAGGAGAGTATGAGGGGTTGGACATGTAGTTTGGATGGGGGAGACAAGAAATGCATGTAGCGTGTTGATAAGGGAATTGTATTTAAATGTGACTGTTTGGAAGACTCATAAGGAGACATGAGGCTGATTTTAGAGTGGATGTTTGGGAAATCTGTACTGAGGATGTGAACTGGATTATGTTCGCTGGACCATTTGTCATAGACTTGTTTATGTACGGGATGGGCGACTCGTAGACGGTGGTAAGGTTTTTATTTTTTTTTCCTCCATGTGCAGACTGTTTATGTCACCAGTGAACAGGGCACATTTTTTAATATGAGTTACAGCACAGGCATAATAGGTAGTTGATCTCTCTATGTTTTCCAAAAGTATGGTAAATAATGGCTGTGAAAAGATCTGGTTCAATTGAGAAGCGGAAGGATAGTTAATCTATTGTAAGGTTTTAGAAGAGTAATTGTGCGTTTGGATTAATACAGTTTGGCGCTCAGTAATATGACTGATGTGTTCAGGAGCAGTGAAACCTCAGTTGCACAGGGGCAGCAGCGCACACCTGAAAGTCGCTGGAGGGCAAGAGACCTACACGGAGGAAGAGAAACGAGTCTTACTCCAGACATCCCACATAAACCAGAAAGAGTATGTACCATTCATGAGTGTAGACCTTGGCGAACGTTTCCAGTATTCTCTTCCCTTCACGGACAGAGACGGACATCTTGCTCTGTCACCTAAACAGCGGAGGGACTTTGCCCGCTGGGCTCGTCCTGATGAAATCTGCCCTGAACCTAAAATGGTGGTTGGTCAGCATGTTGACTGTTTCAGCATTAAGCAAACGGTAAGGAGGAAAACTCTCAGAGTATAGTATTTTGGCATAATGTAACAAGTAGATTGTGCCATTGCTTTGCACTTGGTCAGAATTTTTTTTTTTTTGGCCATTTTTGTTCCTCTGAATTTCTAACCCTATTTCTATCCATCCATTCTAGGTTTATGTATTTTACGTGTAATCTTTGTTTTCATAAGTACAAAACCTGATTTCATCCCTTTATGTTTGGATTTTATCTTTAGAACCATGCAATAAGAAAAGTGTTGATAGTTTCTTGTTTAGTTTATTTTTGGTTGATAAATGAAAGTAATATTGAAATTTGAGGTTCGCACAGTGTAACTCTGCATGTGTTTTTGCCACATGAGAGGACAACTACAATTTTTTTTTAAAAGTATAGCTCAGAGCTTGTTTCATTCTGACATCTTCATTTATTTTGTTTACAGAAACTTAAAACTGAATGTTTTATTATTTCCAACTCTGAATTACAGAATATTCTGCTATCTTGCTGTTTTGTGAGAGACTTCTCTGATGGTTAAGCTTAAGAAATTGTTTGCCAAGACATGTAAGTTTGTCTTTGAATAGTTTTATTGCAGAATAGTTAAAGCTACAAATGTCACATTATAGGTTGTGTCTGATTGTTCGTTTGTTGCCTCTCTTGCTGTGAGTGCCCTGTATGAACGTCGTTTTGGGCGGCGACTGGTCACATCTATCATCTACCCTCGGAACAGTAAGAAGGAACCCATCTACAACCCATTTGGTAAGAAGAATACATTTCACACATCATTTCAGAATTAGTAGCCTTTCAGTTTAAAGTATAACAAGAAAAACTTGAAGCTTATTTTACCAATATTGCTCATGATTTAATAGGATATAGAATTAATATCTGAATCCATTGGACTATTATTAAAATGTGGTGTACACTTAAATTTTCTTCTTTATGTGTTACACAATAAATTACAGTAAAAGATACTTTAGACATAGAAACCTCCCACATGGGAGGAGGCCAAGTCTTGACTTCGGGCTGCTGTGCCATAGAAGAAGAAGAATAAGAAAAGATACCTTGTTTATTGCAATTTGTAGTCATAGAAAGCAAGGAGCAACTGATCAATGTAATGTTGGTATTCTGACCTGTGGAAGGAAGTGGCCATGGCCTCATTTAATAGGTAGCCCTCGATTTACGCCCGGGATGCGTTCCTAGATGAACCGGCGTAAATTGAAACTCTTTTATAATGTAAATCAATGGGAAGTCAATGACATGCGTTCCCAGCACCCAAACATTGACGAGTAATATAATGGCATTACATTTAAAGCTCTGAAATAATGTAAATAAAATAAAGGGAATTTAAAAAATATATTTTATACGCTTGCAATCGGCAATTCGTTGGTCCCCGCGATTGACTGCGATGCTTTCATGTGATTGATGTGTACAGTCATCTCTGCTGTTATGCGATAGTTGCGTTCATGTAAGACGCCGACCCATAGAAAATCGCGTAGTAAAAAATAACCCCTGTACCTCCGCAGAGATTAAATTAGTCCTTTGAAAGTTTAAAGTGCCAGGAATGAAATTGCATAAGAGCAAACTTTCATATGGAAAAGTTTGCATTTCAGAAACAGCTTTTACCGATTCATCGATCTCATTGGAGCAAATTCGCGTTAACGAAACATACGTAATTGCAGAGATGACTGTATTTATAATTTTTATTCAAAATCACCTATGTAAGGATTACGATTTGGTATAAGAATCAGTACGAGATACATTGTAAAACGTTATAAATAATAGTAAATTTTTTTCCACTTTTTGACTTGCTGGTTTCAAAATCGGCGCAAATCTAGGGCTACCTGTACTAGATTTAAACCCAGGTCATCCTGAATATTTAGTAGTATTTCTAACCACTCAGTTTACTCAACTGTGATGTTTTGTGTTTTCAAGTTTAATAACAGTGATCTTTACATGAGCTGGGCCAGCATTAATCAGTTGGTTTGTGATATCATTACAGGAAAGTACATGGTAAAACTACATATCAATGGTATACCCCGCAAGGTTATAATAGATGACCATTTGCCTGTTGGAAAGCATGGGGAACTCCTTTGCTCCTACTCGACTAACCGAGGTGAACTGTGGATTTCACTACTTGAGAAGGCCTACATGAAAGTTATGGGAGGTTACGACTTCCCAGGATCCAATAGCGTAAGTTAAGACTACTCGTGTTTGATATCATACGCAGTATTTGTAATAAAGCTTGACAATGTGGAATATATAACATAATTAGATTAACTTTATAGCTGATGCAAAAATTAAAACAAATATTAAATTATGCACTTGAAAAAATTGACAAGGATAACTGAAAAGATTAATAAAGCAGTTTGGAACTGGGTAGGTCAAAAGGCTGAAATTATGATGTTAATGTTGACTGTTACAAATGTGGGGGCTTCGCAGTTACAAGTATTTTATTATTTAGTGTTCTGTCTGACGACAGGTCCATATGAACAGGATCCTTCCATCCTTTTCTCGGACTGGGACCTGTTCATATACGTTCTTGGCAGATGATCCAGAAGTGGTTTGCCATTGCCTTCTTCTGTGTGTGAATGGAGTAATTGTTGGGATGCCACAGAGAAACCGGGGAAGCCCCCGGAGGAAAACTCCGTGTTGCCTAGACCACGGCCTTGCCCAACACAAGTTATAAATTCGGGCACCGCCGGGAATCGAACCCGAGACCCCAGGAATTACAAGGCCAGCGTTCTATCCGCTAGACCAATGTACTGTCTGTAACTCCAAAACTGTTGTGTCCAATAAATTGTCTGCTGTTTTGAGTTATTGACCGTAGTTCTCCGATGTCACCCCAGTTAATTGAGACATTGAACCATTAAATTGGGATGTTTTACATGTATGTTATATTCTCTCTTTTTTTCACTTTTCAAAAAAATTACCACCTACAAAATTGTTTGTTTAACAAAAGGCGCTTTCCATATGTTTATTGGCATTTCACATTTAATAGTGCTGGTGTAATTACCATCCAGAGGGGAGGATTAATAAGTGCCAAGTTGTGCTGTTGTGCAGTGACATACTGTTTCTACCAAATTTAATGAAAAATTGTGTATGCTATCTGCAATGGTAGTGTCTGAAATCATATTAGTTTGTGGACAGACCAATACAACCAAGTAGATTGTTAACAGCAGTTGCATGTAATGTGAATGTGAACTGGTTTTGCAGAACATTGACCTACATGCTCTGACAGGCTGGATACCTGAACGCATGGCAATAAGGGCCAGCGAATCTGACTTCAACGCAGACGCTTTGTTTGACAAGCTGCTCAGTCGTCTTCACAAGGGGGACGTGCTGGTCACCGTTGCGACGGGTGAAATGAATGAGGCCGAAGCTGACAGGTCAGGGCTGGTCCCTACACATGCATATGCTGTCCTGGATGTACGCAAGATCAAGGTACCACTTTGGTTATATTTAAATCTGATAACAGCCCAAGGATTAAGTGTACCGATGATAGTTGCCTATTATATTTAAATCTGATAACAGCCCAAGGCTTAAGTGTACCAATGATAGTTGCCTACTGGTTTACATTTTTATAACTGAGGTTGTAGAATTTTGCAAGGAGGCTTGACGAGATGGCATAAATAATGCGTACATGCAATTTGTTCATGAATATTTTATGTTCATACATTGTTTTGTTACTTGCCTGCATTATTTTCTGAGTATTCCAATTGAGGATGAGGTGGAGACAAATACAGAACTTGTGATTTTTGCATTTCCTGCAGTTACGATATTATCGTCACTTCATAGAAAGTGTAAATCGAAGGTCCCACTGCATTTTGGTGTATGGGGTCGGCATTGACAGTAATGCCTCTATTGGGGTTAGAGTTTGTGTGATAAATGATGTCCTTTTGTGGACAGGGTGTGCGGCTTCTGCAGTTAAAAAATCCTTGGTCACATGTCAGGTGGAGAGGTAATTATTCTGAGTTGGACACAAAGCACTGGACTCCAGAGTTACGCCAGACTTTAAACTTCGAACCTAACAGTGCTGCCATGTTTGACAATGGTGTATTCTGGATTGATTATGATTCCATCCTGAGGTTCTATGATGTATTCTATCTGAACTGGAATCCAGGACTCTTCTCGTACACGTACTGCATTCACCAGTAAGTTGTGGATTTATGCTTTCTTCGTGTGATTGTTCTGTACATTAACCATAAACGCCCAATTAGGGGCTGTAGTATTGCCATTTTGGGCTACAGTGTGATTAAAGTGCGTCTTTGTGTGCCTTTAAGGTCGTGGAGTGCAGGAACAGGCCCTATTAAAGATGCATACAACATTGGAGAAAACCCACAGTTTCGAATGGAGGTACAGCCTGGTGCAAGTGGGGCTGTTTGGATCCTCCTGACACGACATATCAAGCAGATAGAGGACTTTAAGGAGAACCGCGAGTATATTACTGTTCTGGTATACAAGAACGATGGACGCCGTGTATATTATCCTTGTAAGTGCATAATAGTAGTGAAAAACATCATGTATGCTGAGTGGCAGATGGACATTTATGACCTGATGATACAGATTACTGTAGGTTGCAAGGAAATCACTCCAGAGATACTGAATTACATGTGGATAAATTTGGTCTGACTTTGTGAACAGTGCCGTGTCAGTTAGGGAAGGAGTGCATGGAGCCAAAAAAAAGATTTATCGCAATATCCCATCTTTGCAGGTAAAATTTTCCAAATATTAATTCAGAAGTTTTATTTTATCCATACCCTAGCAGATTGCTCTGTAAATTTTTTTTCAAAATGAAGATGGAAAAATCGTGCCATTAAATTCAGATGGTATTGTTGCAGATGACCCAGCGCCTTTTATTGATGGTGTCCGTATCAACAGCCCACACTACTTGTGCAAGCTCGTCCTCAATGAAAACAGTGCACATCACTACACATTGGTTATTTCACAGTATGAGAAGACAAACACCATTTTCTACACCTTGCGTGCATATGCAACTTGCCCCTTCACATTGGCCAAGATAGGTAGCCCCTACAAACACACACAGAAGGTAAGCCCTTTTTCCACATTTTTATCTCATTGGATTTTTGTGGGACAGCAGAAATTCTTTGTTATAAGTACTACTTGGCAACTGTTTCAGTTTGTTTCTTAGGTTTCAGATGGTCAGTGGAAGGGTGTGACCGCAGGAGGCTGTGGTAACCATCCTACACACCTCAACAACCCCCGCTACCAGATTAAATTGGAGTCATCACACAATAATAACCAGATTTTGCTGGATCTCAGGGGCCCCAAGTCATACCAAATTGGCCTAGAAGTAATTTGTGTCGTGGCCAGTGACCAGAATGCACCTGGAATTTTTAAGAAGAAACACTCAGGACCATTTAGGTAAACAGCTGTTGCTGACCTCTTCAGCCTGTGCCTGTTAAGTTGTTACACCTAAGAACATTATAACCTGTTTCTTTTAGATGCATTTTACTGTTGTCCTATTTGTACATAGGGTAAATGGGCTCTTCCTGTGTGATTTCTGGACCAAAATTCTGTATGCATATCATATTTTCCCTACTTTTACCACCATTATTTGTTCATAGAGTTTTCAAACTTTTTCATGTTCTGGGCCACTTGGCCACTAAACTGTTATTACAGGCAGGACTAGAATGTCAAAAAAAAAATTAATACAGGTACAAAATATACAACTGTAACATATTTCCATATTAAAAGAGTTGTATTAATCTCACTAAACTGTTATTACAGGCAGGACTAAATGTCAAAAAAAATTTAATGCAGGTACAAAATATACAAATGTAAGGTATTTCCATATTAAAAGAATTGTATTAATCATTTTGTTCTCAAATAGTTTTAACTTCCTTTTTCATCTCTTTTTTTACCCTATAATGTGAATATTTTGTGTACGTTACAGTGGAATATTTTCTTTTAGGTCAGGCTTTGTAGTGATGGATTTGGAAGACGTGCCTGCTGGAACTTATGATATTATTCCGTCTACCTTCATGCCTAATCAAGAGGGCCCCTTCATTTTGACTGTGAAAGCATCTTGTCAATTCTCACTGGCCCGTCTGCAGTGATGACGGTATTCTCCTATAATTGAATGTCTGGCTGATGGACACAGGACAGGACAGTACATACATTGAAGGTAGGAGCAAGGAATGGGGCACACACAGAACTCGTCAGCAGGCCCCATGTGGTCCATGGGCTGTGGCTTTTTAAATCCCCCGAACTAGCAAATATTCATTTTAATTAAATTGGTCTCGTTCTTGTTTGGGTAATCCTTTGAATTCTAATACCGTAGAATAAAAGTACAATTTCAGATCATTTATTGGCTGCTATATTTGAGTTGTACCAATACAGATGTTTTTCTCTGAGCAATATATATGAATAAATAAATGTGTGAAACTCATGTTAATAAAATGTTGTTAGTATGGTTCTTCATGGTTTCACGCTGATTGACACAGTTCACGGAATTACGTATATTACGTTACACTCTCAGTTCTTGGTATGTATTCTTAGTCACAAGGTGATGTATGAGAAAATCTTATTTTTAAGATCTCCCTCTGAATGCCTGAAATAAAAATGATTTAATTAGGTAAGAGTTTTAGAAAATATAATCCCCAAACCATTAATTTCATTACAAGCTGTGGACAGACGTACAGTGCATTTATACAACCTTGAGAACATGTCCAACAAACATTGGTTTGGAATGAGGAATCGTTGGCCAGCAAATTCTGAAACTGTCTGATGCCACCCCCAACTCCAAAGTAATGCACCTTCACTGCCAGGTATCTGTATCCACGTTAAGGTGATGTCACTGACTTCGTGTCTCTTCTTACCCTGTTTCTGATCCTTGAGATGAAATTAAAATATTCTACCCAAAATAATAGGATTTAAAATTTTAGTTTGTTATGTGGGTTTATGAGCAGGGAGACTTAGCAATAGCTTCAAAGGATACATGACTCCCCCTGGCTTGAGGCACTCTTTGAAGATAGCTAGAAGTTTTCTCTGGTTGTTGGGGTTGTAGATTGTTTCAGAAGTCAGAATGAAGTCATATCTGTTCTTATTTTCAGAAAGTTCTGCGCTCATCAAGTCTGCAAAATCTTTCCAGTCTCCTGCAAAGAACCTGCTAGAAGACACTGTTCCATCCTTCTGCAACTCTGATGTGTTCATTTTCACATTGGGTATTGTAACGGCCCTGATGACCGATCCATTCTGTAAGGTATACGGAACAGTTATATAGAAGGCTGTGTCTGTAGCATAATGCTTGAATTATATAAAATTTATCTCTGTTACAGTTTTGCAAGTGTATATATTTTATTTCAAACTGTTGGTGTAAAGAAATCTGTTTTTGGTTAATAGTGACGTGTCTGTCGGCCTAAGCGGTCCTTCACGTTTTGTATGCCACCCAAGTATATCATTTCAGGAAGCAGGATTGGAAAGAATAATGGCAAAAACTGAGAAGGAGAAGCTGGAGACACTTGATTGTCAGACAGCTCATAAGAAGTGTGAATGTCTCAGGAGAAGGAAGAAGAAGACCAAGACATATACACACTTCACTCACGTAATCCTGAAAATGAACAGACTTTGCCCCAAGATACATGGCCAATATTCCCAGCAGTCCAGTTCCACAGCCAAGGTCCAGAATCTGCTTGCCAGTGAAATCGATGCCCTCACGCATCAGGAAGTCTGCTAAGTCTCTGGTACACTCCCAGATCTTCAGACCTCCTGCCAGCACACAATCATATAACAGAATTAAGTGTCATCCCTGAGCAAATGAACAGCTGGTCAAGAATATCTCAGCCTGCAGCTTCGTGTTACATTTCTTCAAGAAATCATATAATAATATCCTCCCTTCACTTGAGATTTTTTGGTTGAAGGAGTAAGCACCTCTGAAAGGCCAGTCTGTATCTACGTAACTACAAGGCATAATATATGTATATGTATACAGATTTTTACAAGTATTAAAATATTCTCTGAACCAACGAACCTTCATACTTCCCTGGAAGAAGATCTAAGTGAAGGGCTTCAGCTTCTGCAATGAACTCCTCTCCATTGATGCCAGACAGATGCTTGATGGCTTCCTCAAATGGAACATGCTTAAGTTTGTACTTCCCACATGGATATATACAGACAGACAGTTGCAAATTCTGTTCGGAAGATGGAAGTATTTCATTTGCGGGCAGCCACTGCAGTGTTTCTGTGCAGGAATCCTTACTGTCTGTGAACAGAAACAACAAACACCATTGTTCATGATCCTGAGCCTTTTCTGTCCAGGTCACTCCCTATTTTATTAGGATCAATTTTAATATTATTCCATCTCTTCTTTTTGTTTTGTATAAACATAGATTATTTTACAACATTTCTGCTTGTTTCTCCCAGCCAGTAGTATATCAGGTGGCTGAATGGTATATAATGTCGGCAGAGGATATGCTTTATTCATCATTCAGCCATCTGACATGGCTTGTAGCCCAAGAGTCTTTCGTCAATTAATAATAAATATTAACGATATAGTCTATGGCACCTATATGCTACCTTTGCTGTTATAAAAATGCATACATTTGGGAAGCCTAGGTTAGTGTCATATTTTGACTGTTTGACACTCAGAGAAAGTCTCCATTGGATTGTAGGCTGGGTGGGCAATTGATGATGAAATTAAAAATGCCAGCCCCCTGCTAGGATTGTGACCCTGGCTGTCAACTCATAATTAGTTTCTTTACTAACACATATCACTATTCCTGCAGTAGTGATACATTTTTTCTTAGTCTCTCTTATTACTCTGCAATACATGTAGTTTAAAATCACTGAAATGTAACAGAATTCCAACCATTTGTAGTGACTTCTGAAACATCATTCCCATTTGTTTTTGTTTCTTCATCAGGATTAGAGAAGTTGAACTTGAACATGCTTGAAACTGGTGGTAACACTCTTAATGATACCTGAAATCAAGGAACATTAGTGTTAAGTGTACATTGTAGAACAATTGCTTTACATATTAGTGTGGAATACAAATTATGATGCTTCTAAATTACAGTTTTCTCCAGCACCGTCCTGGAACACCTTCAGTCTTTCTTTTAAATCTAAAGGGTTCTGATGATGAAAACTCTATCCCTCAAGAAGTGAAAAGTTAGGGGTGCCTACTCAGTTTTATCTGATAGAAAGAGCTAACCTTAATCATTGTGAGTAGTTAACCTTGGTAGTTAAGTCAGTATAGTGACTGGCTGCAGACCGGGGTTTCAGTATAGTGACTGGCTGCAGACTGGACAACTGGGGTTTGATCCTTGACAGGGGCAAAGGATTTTTCTCTCTGTGTCCTGACCTGCTATGAGGCCCACCCAGCCTTCTGTCCAATGGATACTGTGGTACTTGTCCTGGAGTAAAATGTGTCCAGAATTTGATGCTGACCACTCACCTCTATCCAGTGCCAAGGTTAAGAATGAGTAGGAGCTTTATCCCCACTACTCCCCATGGCGTGTAGTGGTACAGTTTTACTTACCTTATGGGGTTTCTTCCGTTTTAAATACCTGTGGTTTGAGATGCCAATTTTTCCTGCGCGTTCCATTGTGCACATTCCAATGTCCAATGGCGGAAACTGAAGTACATTAAGGCATTAAACGTTCGAAATCGGTTACATTCAGGCCATCAAAAGATTTCTGATGCAAAATATTCATGAAATTTAGTTTGCATTTAAAGCAGAGTATTTGCCTTCCACGCCTCCTGAATCCCTATGTTTATTTAGAAATACGATGGCAGCTTATTATTTAAGGGATAGCGTTATCAACCGAAGAGCGCACAGCCACTTAGTGCTGGTGGTAACCCAAGAAAATTAGGTTGCTTTGTCCGTGCATTACGGAATTTTCAGTCACGATTCCGAAACTTACGTTACGTTATTCTGTGGTCCGTTGGTGTTAATACGAAGATGGCATGTGTATTTAATTGTTGGGTACTATGGGTAATGTTGGTACTTACAGGTAGGAATTTTTATAACTAATGCAATTTTTTTATCGTGGGATGGCTTACAACTTGTTGACATACGAAAAGTAATTCACCATTGTAACTTGACAAGTTGCATCAGGTACTTACCTATGCTGATGATGTCAATCTGCTGGGGGATGGGGTGGGTACCATAACCAAGAATTCAGAAACTCTCCTACAGGCTACCAAGGAAGTAGGCTTAGAATTAAATGTAGACATAACTAAATTACATGGGTATAACACGAGATAAACATAAGCAACAACGGCGGAACATAATTTTAAGTAACACATCATTTTAAAATGTTTAAAAATTTAAGTATCTGGGAATAATGACACTAGGCACAAAGACTGTCATAGTTGATTGTAAAACGCACAGATGACCTCAACGTCGTAAAATAATTGATAATTGACATCTGTAAGTATTCATCTATAACTTCTATGTTCACTGTCTTGCCGTCACTAAGCGCCAAAATGCATTAAAGTAGCTGTTTTGGCTTTTTTTAATGAAAATTTAAAGATTTTTATAATTGCTGTACCTCACAGCCCATTCTGATGTTTTGATATTGTTTTCGTAACACAAAACATTTTTACTGTGAAGGGTTGTTAGCCCTGCGCCCAACCACCCTCTCCGGCTAGAGGACTGCCCCTTATCGGCTAAGTTATATTTATTAGGAAACCGGTTCCTCATCACAGTACATTGTTTCTAAACTTCATGGCTGAAGTCGTGCCTATCAGATGAATGGCAGCAATCTAATATATTTAACTAGGTCATAACCACTTAACTATCTCCCCACCTGATTTATTTCTAAGTATCCTCAGCAGCTGATACATTATTGTTAAATACTGCATGTTGAACTAAACAGTGGATTTGGCTCCACTTGTGTCTTCACAAGTCTGCCAAGACTGTTACATATCAGTTTGGTTACTCACATGGCTGTAGGTTAACATATTTTTCATTGTTTCGCACAATAAATAAATATGTCTTCTAAATATGTTAGCTGGGTTCATCTCAGTCTGTACTTTCTGATTCAAGCTGGTAACAGTATAGTGGGTCATTGCACTTGGGTAGTGTACAGAAGATGGGGTATGGGAAGGTGGGAAGTTGAACCTATTTGTTCAGTTTTGTAATAAACCACAAAGATGCTAGGAAAAGAATTGCTGATAAAAATTAACATGTATTGGATTATTTGCTGTCAAAATTTGGCTCTGCAGGGTTCAAGTTTTATTTGAAGCTTACGACTGGTATCTGCAAGAGCAAGAAACGTCTGGATGGGAAGACTGTTATCATTACGGGTGCCAACACAGGTGAGAATATTACAAACCACTCAACAAGTTAAGAATAACAATAAAACTTTTATTAATTGAATCATGTGTTACTCTGAAAGAAATCTGACAATATGTTGTTCTCTGACTGTTGTAAATGATGCTAATAACTGTTGGTTAGAATGGACAGAATGTAAGTCCTTATTTTGGGTTTTGATATTAACATTATTATTGTTATTAGTATTATCTCCATGTTCATGAACAGAACAGAAATCCTACTTTGAAAACTGGTGCTTAATATTCCTGTTCTGAGATGGAGTTCTCTCATGAGTTTATCAGTCAAAATGAGTGCTAATTGAGTGTATGCTGCTTTTCTGTTGTCTTTTGCCCACAAACACGGTGGCATTTTTTCTCATAAGAATCGGTTTTATCTGTTAATTTAATTTCTTGTTCTTTGCTGCAGGATGTGTTAATGATGCGAATATTCTGTGTGTTTTAGGTATTGGAAAGGAGACAGCACGTGATCTTGCACAGAGAGGAGCTAAAGTTATCCTTGCCTGCCGAGATTTGGAGAAAGGGAAGAATGCTTGTGGTTGGTACTTTGCCCATTAATTAACCAGCTCCATCATAATTATTCAGCTGATTTAGAAATTCCTTATGAGTTTATATTTGATTTTAAAGTTAGAATATGACTTTATAATTTGTTGACTTTTTATAAAATGTTGTAACATAAAGCAATAAATTCAGCACATACTATAATGAATTCTTCTCGGGCTAACAGCCGTGTCAGGTGGTTAACTGGAGAGAACGCCAACGTTTTGAGAGCCATCTTCAGTATCCTGAGAACGAGGATGAAGATGGTTCTCGAAATTTTTGGTGGCTGGCTTTTGTGAACAAAGTTATGAACTTTTAGGTTCCATAAAGAAAATGAGGTATTCTTTGGCAAGCCGAGTTGAGGTTTATTTTTAGTAATTGGCACTTTTTTCATCCTCAGATTTGACCCTGACTACTGCGACTGATCTTGTACATGAAAAAAGTAAACAATAGATCTCAGTATGTTACCAAGCAGTTATGGAGTACACTGAAATAGCATTTAGAGAATATAATTATGGCTGTGATGTCGAAAATCGTTAGAGAATCCTTTTTTTGAGATTATCTCTAAATGTTCTTATCTTTTTCTGTTTTTTTGTTGTTGTTATGACAGATGAAATTATTGCTCAGACTGGGAACACAAATGTTGAAGTACAGCATCTGGACCTGAGTTCACTAGCATCAGTACGGAAATTTGCCAACAATATTATTAACACCGAGCCACATCTTGACGTACTTATCAACAATGCAGGTGCTACCAGAGTTGGACAGAAACTCACAGAGGATGGACTCTTACTTGGCATGCAAGTGAACCACTTTGGACCCTACCTCCTCACCTGTCTGTTAGTGGGTATGATCATCAACACAGTTCCTAGGGTTAGGCATGTATTGTAAAATTATATTTTCAGAATTTTTGTCTACCTCTTTCTTGACAGCAACTCATGTCAGGCCATATTTTACCTTTGTCTATAGAAGCATCTCTAGAGAACCTGCATCCTACAGTTTCAAAGAAAAGCTGTACTCAGTAATAATATAAATTAATGGATGATGTTTGCTTTATTGAGAGATTATAAACGTACCTATAAATTGCATATGTGTGCGCGCATGTTCTTATGTTATAAAGTACTAACATGACAGTGGTATACGACTTTGAGATTACATTTGCTAGTAGACAGGTGGGGCTAGAAGTAAATTCAGAAAAAAACTAAGTACATGTTAGTATCCCGTCGTCAGCAGATAGGCGGTCAGAATTATCTTAGGGTGGCTAATATATCCTTTGAAAGTATTACAAGGTTCAAATATTTGGGAACAACAATAAGTGGCAAATCAAAATGATGCTCATGAGGAAGTTAGGAGGAGACTAAATTCCGGAAATGCTTGCTACTTCTCAGTTCAAAATATTTTGTCTTCCCGTCTGATTTCTAAGAACCTGAAAATTAAAGTATACAAAACAATAATCTTGCCTATTGTTTTATATGGGTACGAAACATGGTCTCTCACTCAGAGGGAGGAACACAGATTGCAGGTGTTGGAGAATCGGGTGTTGAGGAGGATATTTGGGCCTAAGAGGGAAGACGATGGGGCGTGGAGAAAACTGCACAATGACGAGCTTAAAAATCTGTACTGCTCCCCCAGTATTGTCAGGGTGATTAAGTCGAGAAGA